GGGGGGGGCGTCGTGGAGCGTGCTTGCATGGTGCCGTGCGAGACTGACGCGCGCGTGCGTGACTGTGACTGTGACTGTTCGCTTGCGCTGCACTCAAAGCCCTCTTGATCGGCGCTGCGGCTTGGACGTTTACCCGCTCGGTGGATCTGGACAAGCGAGTCGTGCTGGGATCCAACGCAAGCGCCTTCAGGCTCGAAGCTGCGTGGCTGCAGCGCGTGCCCGCCAACGTTCGCTCGGCCATTCACAGTCATGTGATGGAGAGGCGATCCGTGGTGTTTCGCGTAAGTTGGGTTTGGCGGGCATGCGCTTTCAAATGCATCAGCATCGTTCCCCACTCAACCCCCTCTGCCTACTCCGCCCCCACCCCCACACGCAGATCTTGATCCCGCTCTACCTCCTTCTCAGCGTCGTCGCTGCCCTCTGCTTTGGATCAGCTCTCAGCTTCTCGCTGCAGAATGCTGCGACGGGCGCAGATTTGGCCAAAAGGAGCACTACGCAAGCCACCGGAGTCGTAGCCGATGCGACTTTTTACCCGTACGCCAACATCTCTACAGCTCTCGTCGATGGGCCGCGGCTGAATGCGCCAGCTCCGAGCCTCCTAAGCAGCTTTCCTGCAGCAGTGTGAGTGTGAGACTCCGAACCGCACCAGCAAAGGCCTGCCATGCTGATAGTCTCCCCTCTTCTTTCCTCGTCGCAGCGCTGGATGGGGAGCGAACAACTTTGCGACGCCCGACGAGCCGCAAATGGGTTTGACGGGTTATCGATTGCACGATGCGCCCATCGAAAGCGATCGCTTCGAAGGGATTGCCAAGGTGGCTGGATTCGACGTCGTCGTGGATTGCGGCATGGCAGACGACGTCAACATGACGGTGACCAATCTGGTCGGCTTGCTTCCCGACACAGATCAGGGGTGCGTCGCGTCCGTCGACAGGGCGGGGATGAGTCGTGGATGCAGTTGTGCATCGTCGCAGCTGACGCGGGCGCTCCGCACACCCCCTTCCGTGCAGCCCCTCGCTTCGGCTCAACTTTACGATGACGAGTCGTGCAGTGCCCATCCCCTCGGCAGGATCACTACCTTCCACACCTCAAGACGTCACCTTTCAATTCACCGACGACGTCTTTTTCCAATCCTGCCAGACCGCGACCAATGCGCACACGCGCATCCTGAACCACTGGAACGGCACCTTTTTCGCAAACTTGCCCCGCACCGCTTGGTTCTATCACATTTCCGACGAGAGAAATCCCTTTTGCGCGCCGATCTACGATGCGAGGGGCAATACGGGAGAATTGTTGCGCGTGGACCTTAGCGCTTTCAACCAGAGCGATGTGGCAAACACCAATTGGAACGTCGTGAGTGCCAGCGCGTGCGCGGGGTTCGCGGATCGAATGCTCACAAAACGCACCGAGTGCCCATACGCCCCCCGATTGTGTATTTCCCACAGCAAGCTTTCGGATGCACGCTGCGCAGCGTACCTTTGACAGATTTGGAAGTGGACATGAACACTGCCGCTCTGCTTCCATCTTCCCGTGCCGATCGCTCGTCGCGCTACAGCACGCGAGAGTGGCATCAAGGCACGAGCGCGGGCTGGGCGCCAGCCTTGCAAAACTTCTCCTCTTGGCCCACACCGCTGGATAGCTGGAGTCAGGCTTTCGATCTGAGTTTGAGTTGGTACGCTTCGAGCGTTGCTGGAAGACCTTTTAGAGATTGCATGGCTCGCAATGGAAGCACGTGCCATGCGGATACGCTCATGGAGAGCAACATGTGAGGCCAGAGCGCGGGCGCGCGCGCGCAACCAATGCGCTCATGAAACGGGATGACGCTAACATTTTTTTCTTTGCGAATCGTGGGCATTTCTGGGCTGCCAGTCGACGAGCACTCGCGTTCGACGCTACCAAGCTGCTTCAAGCGAATCAAGATGTGACGGTGGGAGAGTTTGGCACCTTGGCGCGCGGACAAAACACCCTGGCCACGTTGGAAGAGTACCTGTCCAACGTGACTGCGCAGATCTTTAAAACGTACGCCGACGAAGCCTACCACGTCACCCTTCCCTATCGCGTTTCGGAGCCGGAAAATCAGAGGAATAGGAGCTATGCGGCTTTGCACAGCTTCAAGGCGCAGTATAGAGGAAGCACACCCCTCGACGGTATCAGCGTCAGGTTTCAGGTGCTCCTTTGGCCAACTGTGCTCGGATTCGTCACCAGCCTTCTCGCTGCTGCCTTGGCCATCTTTGTTGGGTTTGCGCGGTGATCGACTCCCCCGTCGTTGTCGTTGTCGTTGTCGTTGTCGTTGTCGTTGTCGTTGTCGTTGTCGTTGTCGTGCCTCGCCTCCCCCCCTCTCCACCTTTCATGTACATTTCTCGCACGCACATTCTTTTCCTTTTTCTTTGCATTGTGGAAGCGTTTTTCTTGGAAGTGGAGCGATGAGCGTGTGGATTGAGCAAGCGTTGATTCTTGATTGTGCGCGCCAGCGTGGGGGTCCCCGCATTTCTGGAGCTGTATACACGCATGCATCGCCTCGAGTAATCGCGCATGACTCGGCCGAGAAGATCCGTTCGAGCGCGCGTGATTGCATGTAGACCTCAAAATCGTGAATGGGGGTCTCGCGCATTTCCTCCACAGTTGGCCGGGGGTGGTGCGCGGCCGCGGCGCGAATGTTTTACGCTCATGACTGCATGCATGCTTGAACGCCCATCATCGACTTTCTTTCCGAAGCACCGCACCCTCGATCATCCATCCGCACCTATACGAATTACGTCCGGCGCATTTTTGAAGATGAGCGTTTTGGGAAAGGATGAGGAGGCTTGGATGGAGGATGTGCTGATGAAGATGAAGCAGGAGGCGAGCAAAGGCGCAGCTTCGACCTCGACCTCGACCTCGACCTCGACGGGTCAGAGCGTGCATGGTACCGCTGCTACTACCACCTCCGATCATCTCGACTCGTCGACGTCGACGTCGTCGTCCAGAGACGGTCCAGTAGCGATGTCCATGCCTGCTCTGCTCATCAATCCTCGACTGCGCAACCTCAATCTTTCGGCCAGCGGCGCAGGTTTGACTAGCAGCAGCAGATCGACGGGCGGCGCGGGCGCGAGCATGGGCGCAGCACAAGGAAAGAGAAGCGTGGGCAAGCGAAAGACGAGGAGGGCGGAGAATGGTGAGTTGTTGTGGGTGGGGGCCGCGTCAAGATTGGTGCTTGGAGGGGGGGGGGGGGGGGGGGGGGGGGGGGGGGGGGGGGGGGGGGGGAGGAAAGAGGTTGTGAATGTCGCAGCGACAAGGAGACGCGGCCATGCACGCAGACTGACTCGTGAGCCCTGCCGCACTCCCCAACCCCTCATCTCCCACGTTGCCCCCCTTGCGCACCCCCCCGCACACGCACACGCACACGCACACGCCAGCTCGTCTGGGCGGCAATCCGCACATCGCAGCGCCCCGTCCATCAGACTATAATCTGCCTCATCCCAATCCCGTTCGTCCATCCCACCATCCTCTTCCCTCCTCTCTCAATCCGCACACGAGCAAGACGTCAAAGTCGGCTACTGCGGCATCATCATCATCGTCATCATCACGACGCAGACCTGATGGACCGCCTGACCTTGGTCCCGATTCGAGGCAAATCTCTCAAGCTTTGGAAGATGCCAAAGCTGGTCAGTACACGCTTTCCATCAGAGAGGCAAAGTATTTCCTTCGAGAGAAATTGGGCTTGGGTGCGCGCATGACGCTTGTGGAGAGCGACAATCGTCGAGACGATGAGCGGCGGCAGCAGCAGCAGCAGCAGCAGCAGCAGCAGATGGTGCCGACGGAGGACTCGTCGAGGAATGTAGGACCAACGCAAGCGTTTGATACGGTTGCGTCGGACTCGTCGAGGGATGTAGGACCAGCGCAAGCGTTCGCTCTGGTGGCGTCGGAGCATCTACAAGAATGGTTGCATCAAGATGTGCACATTTGTCGAAAAGATGCGGCGCCCGCATCTGCCAGGACGCTGATCGGTGCTGCAGAGCAGAGCACAGCGGTGCGACGAGAGCAGTCGGGGCAAAAATCGGATTCGCCCTCGCCCGCGCCCGCGCCCGCATTGCTGCTGGAAAAGTCGAGAGCGCCCCACGCCCTCGTCTGGATCTGTCCCGATCCCTTCCTCCGACTCGTCCTGCACTGCGTGAGTCTTACGTGAGCCCGTACGCACGCACGCACGAGACACGGGAGCGCACCCCCCGCTGACGCCTGTGACGGCCGATTCCTTACGCCGCTGCGCGGGTTACGCCTGCGCAACTTTAGCTGGCTCGCGTGCATGGATGTCCCTCCTTCTCCAAGGAAGAGTGGAGCAGCAGCAGCAGCAGCAGCAGCCCATCTGCGTTCATGCCGCGTAGAGAGACTTGGATTTTGCATCCGCGCCCCGCAGCTCGTCCTAGAAGACAGTCTCGCTTCGGCAATGCACCTGCGCTGCGTGGACTTGCTGCTGGGAGCGGCAGGGCGGCAGCAGCGGCGGCAGGGCTGGACACGCCTCCGACGACGGACATGGGCACGGACATGGACAGCGCGACGGAGGCGGAGACGGAGAGTTTGGCGGAGAGCGAGGTGGACGAGATGGAGGAGGGGGAGGAAAAGATGGTGGAGCGGCAGCAGCAGCACGTTGGGGCAGAGCAAGGAACGCGAGATGCGGATGAGACGCTGATACCCTTGCAGGAGGAAGAGGAGGGGGACGAAGAGTGGGCGGCTGATCTGGACGAGGGGGAGGAGGAGGAGGAGGGGGAGGAGGGCAATCATAGTCTGAGCGGCAGCGTGGCGAGTCTGGGAATCGTAGAGTAGCCGCGCGTCTTTGTAGCTCCCTCCCTGTTCGTCGTGCTGCTACTCGTCGTGCTCCTCTCGCGGCCAATGCAGCAATCGCAGCGTTTCTGTAGCGCCGCTGTGATGTTTGAAGCCTGTCCACCTGAGCTCCACCTCTTCGAACACCTTCACCACCTTGTGCTCCTCGAAACCCAACTTGGCAAACAAAGCTCTGCTCTTGGCGTTGCTCAGCCCGATTTTGGCTCTGAATGCGCTGGGAGCGAGGGGCAAGAGGGATGAGCTGTTGGAGGCGGAGGTGGAGGCGGAGGCGGTGGTGGTGGCGTAGCGCAGCAAGAGGCAGAGCGACTCGAAGGCCAAGCCTTGTCGTCTGGCTCGAGGTTCTGAAAGAAGGCAGCGCGGTGCTTGCGAGTCAGCCTGCTTGCCTGCCTGCCTGCCAAAAGCAAGGATGACGAGGGGGAGGGTATAAGCGCGCGCGCCGTGGGCTGCCTCACCCGCTATCATGATTTCCACTTCTGCCAAGCACGCCTCTCCCGCACCCGCACCCGCACCCGCACCCGCACCCGCACCCGCACCCGCACCCGCACCCGCACCCGCACCCGCACCATCTGCCGCACCCTCGTCGTCGTCTAGCGAAAGGAAGAGATTGACATCTCCCACCATCTCAGCTTCGTGTAGCGCCTCTCGCGCCGAAGAGATGGACGCGCCAGCTCGTCGTCTCAGCACGATGAATGTCAATTCTACGTCCCGGGAAGGGAAGGGGGGGGGGGGGGGGGGGCGGGTTTTTTGGGGGGGGGGGGGGGGGGGGGGGGGGGGGGGGGGGGGGCAGCGATATTGTCAGGGGAGAAGGGCGGGTTGCGTGTGGAGCAAAAGAGTGGGGGAAGCGGGCCGGTTCGGCGCTCACTATCGTCGTCCAAGTGCCAGGAACGCTGCATGGCGTACTCTTCCTCCAAACTCAAAGCTTCCGACGCTGTTTGCTCGCGCATCTCTTCATCCTGCATCCACTCGTGATACTACTGATGTTGTGCGCACGCGATCGATCAGCAAGCAGCAGCATCAGCGCGCGCGAGCGAGAGAGAGAGAGAGAGAGAGAGAGAGAGAGAGAGAGAGAGAGAGAGAGAGAGAGAGAGAGAGAGAGATAGAGAGAGAGAGGGAAGCAAAGCGATTCGGAACTCGCGAGACTCGCCTTGTGCACGTGCTCCTTTCTGTACGGCACCAGTAGCACTCCATCGCCCACTATGATGGTGCTCTCGTTCAGTCGCATGGTGATGTGAGTGTTGGAAGAGGTGTTGGTGTTGATGTTGGTGTGGCGAGTGTGAGGGATGGAAGATGCTGCGTGGATGCTGCGTGGATGCTGGATGCTGCTTGCGTGGATGCTGCTGCTGCCGCTGCTGCTGCTGGATGCCAAGGGGCACGCGCGCGCGCGACTCGCTCGTGTGCAGCATGCCCCCAGTTTATACATACAGTCGTGAGTACGCACGCAGCACGCGCGCGCGCCTGCTGCCATGCATCGCCACGACTCGACTGCCGCGGCTCATCTTTGCTTCAAAGATCAGATCGCGGGACTCATTCTCATTGATGACTGGCGCGCGCGCACGTGACCGCAAAACGCGCGTCGGTATGGTGCATGCCATGCCATGGGCTCGACACGGCCCCCGCGTGTAAGATTCACGATTCATGATTGTCACCCCACACTCGTGTCGAGACCACCACGAGCTATCGGGCTGCGGCGGCGTGTGAAGAACGGCGGTCATCTCCAGCTTTGCGTCACGCACGGCTGCCAAATACAGCTTCCCGCCCGCCCCCCGAACTCGCGATAGAGCCGACAGCATCGCACGGGCACGGGCACGGGCACGGGCAAGGGCAAGGGCCACGGCCAACGATGAGCAGGTCGAGTCGCACGCTGATGGCGGCCGTGGGGTTGCTTGTATGCTGTTGTTGCTGTCTGGGCACGGCCTACGCTTCCACTCCATCACCACATTCGCACACACATCACACCACCACGACAACGCTGAATCCCCTCGCAGCGCTATTGGACGGCATGCGTCAAGTGCTGGTAGCTTCGCTTCACCTCACAGCCGCCACTGTCCGCTTCGCATCCGTCACCCTTCCCAGCGCCATCTACAGCGTGCTGCACTACAGTCTCACGCTTCAGCTCAACTTTCCAAGCCTCGCTCTGCTCTTTCTCGCTTGTCTTGTCGCCGCATTCGTCTGGCTGAGGTATAGACATCTCAATAGGTACGAGAGGTTGAGAGAAGTGCCGCTCGCAAAGGATGAAGGTTTCAACCTTCACCCGGACGTGGGAGCCAATGACGATGATGATGGTAGGGGAAATGGATTCAGCAACTATCTCGACGAGTTCTTGCAAGCCATTCGCATATTTGGTTTCCTCGAAAAGCCAGTGAGTGGTGGAAGGAGGAGGAGGAGCGCGGGCGTCGGATTTGCGCGCGGAGACAGTCCAGTCCCTCTCTGAGCGCGCCAATTTCATCCAGGTGTTTCACGAGTTGGCGCGTCATCTCCAAACTCGCAGACTCATCGCCGGCGATACGCTCTCCCTCGACTCGGACTTTTCCTTTTACATTGTCATCGACGGCAGGGTGCAAGTGTATGCGCCCACCCCGCCCGCCCGCGAGTCTCGCAGAGCAGCAAACGGATGGTCGGAGGATGAGGATGAGGATGAGGGCAATGGATATCATCTGCTCAACGAGGTCACCAATGGAGGCACCCTCAGCTCGCTCTTTACCATTCTCAGCTTGTTCACAGAGGATGTCAAGGTGGGCTTCGGCACGGGCGAAGGGGAGGACGTAAATGTTGCTGGCACGCAGCGTGCCGGTGGCGCACCCGGCTCTTACGCTTCCAGCGCGCATTCCACGGGTCATGCGACGGATAGTCCGCGAAGGCGCACCAATGCTCATCGATCTCACCCGTCAGACGAAGCTGCACCGCCCTTGCGACCGAGTGGCGACCAATTGCAGCTCAACGCTGCAGCGCTGCGCAACGTGCCGTCTGCCATGAGCTCGTCCGTGGCCGTGGAGCGTCTAGACGGCATCGATGCGCTTCGCGCTAGTCCGAGGCAGAGGCGAGGAAAGACTAGCAGCGGGACGGATGATGCTACCGTGGTGCAAGGAGACGAAGACGAAGAGACGAGCACGGTTCACGATGATGTGCCGGGTGGACAGGATCTACTACCTCCTGCTCAGGCCTCTGCTCCCTTTCCACATTTTGCTCGAGCGCAGGCTAGAGCAAGCGTCGCTTCCAGCTTTTCGCCACCACTATTAGCAGACCGAGGTCGAGCGCACTCTACGGCTACCAATTCCACCTTTGCTGAAGCGAGCAATGGTCCTCACACGCCTGGAAGCATCCTGAGCGGCTTCGAATCAAAGGGCGCAAAGCCGAGCCATTACATGCATCACGAAGGCGTGGGAACGGTGGCTAGAGCGGTGACGGATACGACTCTGGCAGTCATACCTGCCGACGCGTTCAAGCGACTGACCAAAAAGTATCCCAACGCAGCAGCTCACATTGTTCAGGGTGAGCGCGAGCGAGCTTCTTGCGTGTGTAGAATGGGGCACGTCCACTGACGCGCGCGGGCGGACGGGCGGCCGCTTGCTTCACAGTCATTCTCACGCGCCTCTCGCGAGTTACGTTCCACACGGCTCACAAGTATCTGGGCTTGACAAGGGAAGTGATGAGGACGGAGAAACACATCAATGAGCTCGCGTGCTTTACGCTGCCTGCCGCCTTTTACGAGCAAGGAGGTATGGAGCGTCTTCGACAGCGCTTCCTACCCGAGCCTCAAAAGCACGATGCGCAGGCGAGGATGCCGAGCGGCGGCGAGTCTGCAACGCCACCTGGCGATGATCCGCACGACGAGGAAGGAGATTACTTTCGCGGCTCGGCTTGGAGGCGCGGAGCGAGCGAAAGCACGGAAAAGGCCAAGACGCCAAAGAGGAATACTGTGGCAAGGGTCGATCCTGCTCGCACGCCCTGGGGACATCCCGATCCGCCTCTGCGCACGCCCACCAGTCGAACCAGCGTCGGACCTGGCGATCTGCTAAGCATGACAGGCACCGAGGATGGCGCTGGGGGAGGCGGAGGAGGCGGAGGAGGGGGCACAGTTGGCGGAAGACCTGGCAGTCCTCTATCCTACCTCGTCTCGACGAGTGCGCGCCCTCGAGCAGCTTCGCGCGGCACGGCCATCAAAGGCTCGGATGCGACGACTTTGGATATGCTCTCTTTGAGCTCCTTGTCGGATGCGCGCCTCGCGAGTCCGGTGGGTGCAGAGAGTGCTGGAAGCGACTCGGGCTCCTTTGCCGGTGGTTTCGGGCCTGGCGCGCTGGCGGATTTCAATCTGAAAGACGCAGTGATGGGATGCATTGCTAGATCGATTGGACTCATGCAGCAACAGAGTCCCGGCACGGAAAGTCCAGGTCAATCGCTCTCTGCTAGTCCGTTTATCAATCCGGCAGACACGCTTCAGAGGAGCGTCTTTAGGAGCGCCTTTAGCAGTCTGAGCATGCTCGATGCGGCCATGGCTTATGATGAGGAGAGCAGCGTGACGGGCGCGAGCAGCAGCGCTTTGGGTCCTCATCACGTCGAGCTGGAGAATGAGGTGGAGGTGAGGTTCTTTCCAGCTGGAAGCGTGCTCGCCAGTGCTGGAGATGCCGCTGCTGGATTGTTCTACGTCATTGATGGTTTTCTCGACGTCGTGGTGCCGCCGGACGACGCGGATACGCAAGGTGTGCAGGACAACAAGCAGCAAGGTCCCAAGCCCAAGCTCCCGGGAAGAGCAGCGCCTTTGAATGGGCAGAGAAGCGGCGCCACGTCGGCGTCTAGGGCGACAGCTGCACCCTCGCGCTCGGGAGATGCTGGACGAGGAGCACCTGCGCAGTCCGATCGCATTGGAAACGCGCTGGACGGAACGGCATCTGGTGCACGTGCACGTGCGCGCGCTCGATCTGCGCAGCAGCAGCAGCAGTACCAGCAGCAGCAGCAGCAGCAGCAGCAGACGGATCACGTACGTCTACCTGAAGACAAACCAAAGGATCAGCGGGCCATCTTTAGCGTGGGAAGAGGAGGCATTGCGGGCTACCTTTCGAGCTTGCTGGGTGCGCCAAGCTACGTGGATATACGCGCCAAGACGGACACGTACGTGGGCGTTCTTCCTGCCAAGGCGCTTGGTAGGGTCATGGAGCGCCGACCCATCGTGCTGCTCACTCTATGCAAGCGGCTCTTGAGCTTGTTGAGTCCGCTAAGTGAGTCGCGCGCGCCGCTCGCGCTCGCGCTCGCTCGACGACACTCCCCGCACGCGCTTTTGACATTTGCGCGCGCTTTCTCCCTCGCACGCGCTCCACACAGTCTTGCAGATCGACTCGGCACTAGAATGGGAGTCTGTCAATGCGGGTCAGGTGATTTACCGCGAGGGCGAAGCGTCAGACTCTTTTTACGTCGTCATCAATGGTCGATTGAGAGCCATTACGGAGCGGGGCGGTGGAGCGGGAGTGGACTCGATCAGCGAGTATGGTCAGGGAGATAGCGTGGGAGAGCTAGACGTCGTGACGCGGTCTGTGCGACGCAAGACGTTGCACGCGATTCGAGATTCCGAGCTGGCAAGAATGCCCATGGTGAGTGGGTTCCTCGTGATGCGTGCGTTCGCGCGTGCGTGCGTGCGTGGCACGTGCGCTGCATAGCAGCTGACCTTTTTGCACCACACGCAAGACGCTTTTCAATGCCATCTCGATGAGACATCCGACGATTACGATTCAAATGTCTCGCATCATTGCGCGTCGTGTGCGCGAAGAGCTGAATTCGAGTCAACGAGAACGCGGCGGACGAGGCGCTCTGCATACGGCCCCGCCCGTTCCCGGCTTGCCCGATTTGGGACGCAACAATCTCAACCTCAAGACGGTCGCCATCGTTCCTGTCACGCGCGAAGTGCCCATCACCAACTTTGCCAACCGACTTCAGGCCGCCTTCGAAGATACGATTGGAGGTCCCACGGCGTTTTTGAATCAGAGCAGCGTGATGGGCGTGCTGGGTCGACACGCGTTCAACCGCATGGGCAAGCTGAAATTGGCCGGTTGGCTGGCCGAGCAGGAACAGCGGTACAGGTTGGTGCTGTACGTCGTCGATACGGCCGTCAGCTCTCCTTGGGCTCAGACCAGCATCAGGCAGGCAGACTGCGTGCTCCTTGTCGGCTTTGGAGACGATCCTAGCATGGGAGAGTACGAGAGGCTTTTGCTGGGCATCAAGACGACGGCGAGAAAGGAGCTGGTGCTGTTGCATCCCGAGAGGAGCGTCCCGCCAGGCGCTACGCGAGCGTGGCTCAAGGTGAGTGGAGAGCGCGCGCGTGTGTGCGTGTGTGCGCGCGCTAACGGTTTTCGCGCCGACACCCACCACAGTCTCGACCGTGGATTCATGCGCATCATCACGTCGAGCTGCCAGGCATTACGCGCTCCGCCGGCGGCTCGACTGCTAGTGGCGCCGCGAGCGATCCGCGAGCTGTCAAGGCGCTGCGCACGCTCAAGGCGAAACTCGAGACGAGCCTGCATCGGTACAGCGGCAAATCTCGCGGCGCTATTCCAGGTCGTCCTCATCACTTTTCCGACTTTGCGCGGCTAGCGCGAAGATTGTGCGGCAAGAGCATAGGTTTGGTGCTGGGCGGAGGAGGTGCACGAGGGTGCGCTCATGTAGGTTTCTTGAGGGCGCTGGAAGAGAGGGGCATCCCCATCGACATGGTCGGCGGCACCAGCATAGGCAGCCTCGTGGGCGGTCTGTACGCCAAGGAGGCCGAAATGGTCACCACGTTTGGCCGCGTCAAGAAGTTTGCTGGCAGAATGGCTAGCTTGTGGCGCTTCGCTAGCGACTTGACGTATCCCGTCGTCAGCTACACTACGGGGCACGAGTTCAATCGCGGAGTCTTTAGTGAGTGTGCGTGCGTGCGCGTAGAGCATTGCACGAGCTGACTGACGCACGCACGCACGCTTGCACGCACGCGCGCGCGCACCACAGAGGCGCTATCCGACACGCACATCGAAGACATGTGGCTGCCCTTCTTTTGCAACACCACCAACATCACTTGGAGCAGGATGGAGGTGCACACGACGGGATACGCTTGGAGGTATATTCGAGGAAGCATGACTTTGGCAGGTCTCATTCCGCCGCTGGTAGATGATGGACACATGCTCGTCGATGGTGGATACATGGACAATCTACCCGTCAGCGTCATGATGGCCATGGGAGCGCACGATGTGTTTGCCGTCGACGTTGGAAGCATTGTGAGTGACCGAGAGGGCTGCGAGTGCGGCGTGCACGACTTGACGCCCGCGCGCGCGCGCGCGTGACAGGACGATACTTCGCCGCGCAGTTATGGCGACACACTTTCGGGCTGGTGGGTGCTGCTCAACAAGTGGAACCCGTGGAGCGATGCGCGAAATATTCCCAGCATTACGGATATTCGTGAGTTGTGGTGTGTCATGGCGAGATGCGATGATCGCGCTGAATGGAGCTCTACGTGCGAGCAGAGGGTCGATTGACCTAGTGAGTGCGGCATTCGCGACTGTGCCTAAAGTATGCTCGCGGTGGCGCGACCGAGTATGCTCACGCCGACGCCCCGACAGCGTTTCTTCGGTCAAGACGCTGGACGAGGCAAAGAGCACGCCGGGTTGCTTCTACCTACGCATGCCTGTGGAAGGTTTCGGAACGGTGAGTAGCGGCGGTGGCGACGGTGGCGACGTCGCGACGACCGCGGCTGACACGTATGCGCTCTCTCTGCGCGCGTCCAGATGGAATTCGGTCGAGTAAGTGGTCGCGAATTGATCACCCTTGGTACGGACTTGCTAACGCGCGCCCGCATTGCAGTTCAACGAGGTGCAACAAATCGGATACGAGGCTAGCAGAGCAGCATTGGCCGGCTGGGCAAAGGAAGGATCTCTCCCCACCGGCATGTCACTCGAAGCCGAAGCTGCCGACAATCACAATCGCAAGCGCGGCGTCGGCGCGCGAAGAAATTCCGTTTGAATGCGCGCGGGCGCGGCTTGGCAGCGTGCAATGAAGATGACATTCAAATTGGGACTTTGTGACGTCTATCGCGCTGCCTCTCTGGCCGAGTGCGATTCTTGAAGCGCCCGCGCGACTGTAAAATGTAGCGACTCGTTTGTCGTTGTGAGGATGGCGATGGCCTGCGAATGTGTGCGTGTGCGGGCCTCTCAGCGATGGACCATCTCGCGCGCGCAGGCGCACTCTCGGACCCTCGGACCCTCGCACTCTCGCACTCTCGCACCCTCGCACCCTCGCACTCTCGCACTCTCGCACTCTCGCAACCACTCGCTCACCTTGTCCACCTCTTCCAAGCTGGCCGCTTGACCTCCTCCCAAGGCGCTAATCTCCATCGCCGTCACGCTTCCAAGACTCGGCATGGTGCTAAGCGTCACGATGGCTTTGGATTGTCGAGGTGAACACGCGTCACCATGCGGGTGCACCTCGATTGGCACGTCTGGATTGCGAGGAATGGACTGGCGCGGTTGGAGGGGCGAGCCTGTCAGAGATGCCCATCGCGGGACACTGTGACACACAGACATTCGTGCTCCCGCGACTCGCAACTCGCAACTCGCAACTCACTGCGCAACAGCCCACCACCAATGCCCACATTTCGATGCCCGCATGCGCTATGGCTGCACTGGCTGCTATGCTAGCCCAAGGTAGACAAAGCGCATCGTCCCACCTCTGACCTCCTCCTCCTGCCGCCGCTGGACTCTGGATGACGGTGACGTGCACGTCGATCGTCGCTTTGGGAAGCAGCTCTACGCGAATGCTAGGCAGAAGCGCGGACTGCAGCGCTGCGCTCAATGCTGCTGCTTCCACATCCTTTCCCGGCTTGCGGCGACGATGACTGGATGATCCCGAAGAAGAAGCAGCAGCAGCAGCAGCAGCAGCAGCCGAGGCGCACGCAAAGGGTGCATAACGAGCCTCTACGTTCAGCTCGGCTTTGGCATTGTAAGCGCGACCTTTGGATTGCCTGGGTCCGTACACTGCGCATACAAGCCTCAAACAGTCCGCCTCGACGTAGCTCGATCCCGATGCTTGCGGTGAGGTGCCCAAGGCGATGTAGAATGGTTGCTGCTGCTGCTGCGGTGGTGATGCGCGCGCGACAGCGGGTGCCGTCGAGGTTGATGCGCCGCTCGATGCGCCGCCCGAGGAGTCGGGCAGAGAGTCGAAATGAGAGGAAGAGACGTAGCGGGGAGCGTACGTCTCTGGTCCGTTGGCACGCCTACGATCGAGCGATGCGGCCATGCTGCGGATGGGGGTGGGGGTGGGGGTGGGGGTGAGGGAGGACAAGGGGGGGGGGGGGGGGGGGGGGGGGGGGGGGGGGGGGGGGGGCAGGAGCTAAAGGGAGCGAGCGCCGAGCGCGCGATAGCTGGTTTACACAAACTCATGATCAAGATTTCACATTCAGATTGTGATTCACATTTGGCGTGAATTGGGCCAAGTTCTGCATCCATGCAAACTGTGCACGTGACGCGCACAAGCTGCGCGCGCGCGCGACACCCATGCATGCAGACTCGTGACTCACCCCCACCAACGGACTTGACTCTCGCGGAACATTCACATTCACATGCATGATTCAACATTCACGATTCACGATTCGTGATTCACAGACTCTGCGCTGACGATGCGCGATGGTTCATGGGGAGTGAAGATGACAGCGGATCTGTTCGTGGCCGCCAAATTCCGCGAATGAGGTGCTGCGCGCATGTCGGGTATAGCGAGGCAAAGTCTCGGGATTCAGCACGCGCACGCGCACGCACTCATCTTCTCGATCCGAGCACGCGGTGCTGGCTGCTGGTTGAGGCGCAATTGCAAGGTGTGATCGACGCGCAATCCCCACTTCGTCGCACCTGATTGCGGTGATTTGGGAATCGGATTCGGGCTATTCGAGCGCCAAATCTGTCCACCGGGATGCCGCTTTTGGACTTGCTCGGTCCAAATACAAATCCAGGCGTGACTTTAATTCGCGGATCCAAACTAAGCGCGTCAGGCATGCACTGCGGCTCCGCGAGCGCGCGCGATTCGCAGATCACCACTCACCTTTGTGTTGGTCATGTGATGCACTCGATGTGCTTCATCTCTGCGCTGACTGTCGCACTCTGACTCACAACTGTAGATTGCATTTGCTCGGACCTGGCACAGTCTTGAGTAGTGGAGCTTCAGATGGCATGCAAAGAGGCACGAGCCGACCTGCGCATGGCGCGTGTGTTGCGCTCACTATAGCTTGCGCCCATTCAAACGGGTGTCTGCGCCCGGTGTGTTGATTGCGTGTCTGCTTTCCATCAGTGGCGCGCTTATTTGTATTTTGGCGTCCATTCGTCATTAGCAGCGATTAACAAATTGATCAGCGTCGAGCGTAAACGAGCGTACCGATGACGGACGTATCAAGAGACCAGTCAGAGTCACAGTTTCGAGTGAGTGCACCTGCACCGCGCTCCATCGACGACGTTAAATAGCGCAGCAGCGCTCTCCCCGTCCAAACGCGCCCCCGCATCCCCGCCCCCCCCCATTTTTCTCTCATCCAGCAACCGCACTCTTACCGTCAAACAATGATTGCGCATTGCAAGCTCCCAGCTCTCATTGCTTTGCTGTCCTGCTTTGCAGCTACGCACCAGGTGAAAGCTCAACTGCAGCGAAAGGGTCTCAAGGGCGAGCTTCCGCAGTGCCCTTCTGCCGGATACCAAGGCTTCAGAAGTGAGTCTTAGAGGGGCACGGGGTCAAATGAAGAAGCTGACCGCGCGCATTCGCATCTACCTCGTCCGCAGACATTGTTCAAGGACCATCAGGAGTGGACATTTTCGCTTCTGAACAGACCCTCTTGACAGCTTGCTACGATGCCGGCGGCGCCATGGTACCTCACGACATGGGCGATAAGGATGCGCAGCCCATCGTGTATCCCTTTTGGAAGTGTCTAGACAGGTGCGTGACCTCTATTGATTGGGGGCGGAGACGCTTCGGCACGCCCTCTTATGAAGCCCTTTGTCCCATCACAGAAGCGATCGAGATTTCACTTGCAAGGCTTTCGCTAAGCTCAACGAAAACGTGGCGAACGGTCAGCCAGTCTGGGTCATGACCACGTTCGAAGAGCCGCAGCAGCATGACGGCATCTCCAAGCCGCCTCCTCACCCAGTCTACTGAGCTGGTGAAGGCGAGCGAGAGCGCACTCACGACTCTTGTCGTGCTGGCCCCTCCCCCTTCCCCCGTCGCAATGTCATATTCTTCGAGATTTTTGTTAGCCTCCAAATCTCCGCTGTCGACAGCCCGATCGTGACCATCGCTGCTTCGGGGACCGCCTGTGAGCTGTGCTTACCGCAGCAAGAGTCTTGAGTCTGTTCCTCCTCAATCTTGAGTGAAATCTTGATTCACATTCACGTGATTCACATGATTCACGATTCGTGATTCAAAATTGGCGCATTCTATTCGGAGATGAGTGCATATGATATTCGGAGACAACGGCATATATGGACGTACCCCAATTTGGTGGTCAGGCCAAATGAGCCGTATTTCAAAAATGGCACTTATACGTCATATGCAGCCGTACTGGCCTTTGCCTGCGCGCACACAACAATAAAAGGAGAATCAATTCAAGTTACATTTCTGGAATTTGAGATTGTGCATCGCGATCTCATCGCTGCGAGGGAGCTCGTGATTCAGCGCGAGTCCGAACTGGTTCCCGTGGGCAAACGCGCTACGGATGTCTACATCGAGGAGCAGATGCGTGGAATGATCGTCGACGAGGATGGCAAGGGCTACAAGCCTAACCCAGCGTACACCATTGATCAGGAGCGAATCGATGTGGCCGAGGCGGAGAAAGCAGGGTGCGAGGATAGACTGGATGCAGCAAAGCGAGCGGTCGAGGATCTCCTCGGGAATGCAAAGATGCGAGCGCAATCGGTCGGTGCGCCGGTAGCGGGTACCAGGCTTGTCTTTGTGGATCTAGCTGGGGCAGAATACAGCACTACCGGGAGCACCACTGGAACTGGGAGCGTCGCTGCAGCACCGCAAACATCTCTGGAACGTCAGGAAGGTCGACAGATCAATACGGACCTGCTCGCCCTCAAAGAGGTCATTCGCGCAAGAGCTTCGAGGCAATCACGCATCCCGTACCGCAACTCGCCCTTGACCATGGTGCTGAAAGAGCACTTTGAGCATGAGCTTGCACCTCAAGACACGTCCTTTATGATTTTGAACGTGGCGGAAGCTTCTGCGCAGCTCACAGCGACCGTCAATACGCTTCAATTTGGCAGTCTTGTTGGTGTCGTAGCAGGGTGACGGCGGAGAGCACAGCGAGGCGTGGGGACACGCGTCGTCTTGAAAGGATTCGATGTGGTTTCGAGTCTGCTCACGCGTGTGATGCGTGTCAGGGGGTGGTCAGGATCCACGCAGAGGGATTCTTCGCATCCAGAGAGGAGTAGACTGTGCATCCCAGATCCAGACCGGTGCTGCGTGGAGTCGGAGGAATCTGTCGTCAGTCGAGCGCTCGTGAGCACAATGATGATCTCCTGCATACGCACGGGCCTCGACAAGCTACCTCTGCATACACGCTGTCCCCTCTAGTCTCGGGTTTACCATTCGCGACGCTCTTGCACTCTGAACTCCAAGTTCCGAAAGCCGACTGGACGTTGCCGGGATACTTGAAAAGTTCTAGGGAGAGGTAGTCGCAATCATCAGCTTGAGCCGCCACGGAGCAGAGACGGCACGATGCGCCGGCGCCCATGTCCTCATTCTCACCGCGCCAGCCTCCGTCGTCGGCATCTGGACAGTCGGCGGCCAGCACCAATGCAAAGGCGGAGAAGGCGGTCAAGAAGAGGAGGAAATGAGCAAGTCGCAACATGTTGGTTTGTAGTTCAAGATTCGAGATGGGTGCTTCCTATTGCAGTGAGGGGCACGAACGCTGGGGTCGTCTTATATATCCACGAGTGGTCTCCGCGAAATGCCCGAAGGCCCATGCTCTGCGCGACGCGCAACAACACACTCGCAAACATCAAAATACGCTCTACTCGGGAGCGGCAGATGCTCATGCTTCGTGTCAGCACCTTTCAAACGGTCAACAAGATCACTCATCTCACGGCTCTCCAACAGGCCCGTGGTGCGCGCGTGACGAAATCCGATTCAACGCACCACGTCGATCCGCGGTCGCGCTAATCACGGCTCGTGTGCGCGTCCAGCGCCAATCCTAGCAGGAGCGCCCGTCTAGCTCGAGCACACTCCGCGGACGCTCCGCAGCCCCGTCGGAAGGACCGGCATGGTGTTTTGATCTGCGCAGAGGATTGCTGACACGGCAAGTCAACTCTGCTCCAGCAAATGTCTGCACGCCCGCGTCGCATTCGTCTTGACCCTGTTGATCCTCCGCGCAGCGCTTCTCGCGTCTGTTGTGAACGTTCATCTTGCGCATGCTATCTATCACTTTGCGACGGATTCGTCTGGCACCGAGTCGGCGTGGAAGTAGACGCGCGGAACCTCGCGTATCTCGGCGCAACACCAGGCTCCCTCCCCGTCTTCTCCGAGGTCGATACAATTCTTTGGTGTTTTGGAGACAAGTGTGCGTTCGATTGCACGGACAAGAGGCTGCGCATGTTTCGAGTCGGCTGGCTCCTTTGGGAGCGGCGCGCCCAGCGAGAGCGCGAGCACGGCCCTTGGCGCGCCCTGAACTCGAACAATAAAGTCCTCGGGACGCTCCACTTGACGAAGACAAGCCGCCTTTTGGCACTCTCCCCCCAAAATCTCCTCGAACAGTCGCGGACAGGCATTGTGCGACGCCCTGCGCTCGCGCCAGCAAGGAAGCAGCTTAAGAGGGCGACATTTCGTAGTCTATCGCTTGACTCGCCACGCTGCACCTTCAGAAACACTCGGCTCCGCACCAAAAGACCACGGTCCAAAGCACAATCCTACGCACGCACAAGTCTAATCCACTGCGACATGGTACGCCTCTACATCGCCCTCCTGTGCCTAGCTCTGCTTGCTAGTCAAGCTGTGACGGCCGCGACCTGCCCGGCCGCCAAAGATCAGGTACGGAGTGAGTACAAACGCGCTGCGCAAAGGTTGTAGGCACGTCTGATGGACCCGCGCGCACAGTCGTCAAGAAGTATCCTGGCGACTTTTACGTGGCAAAGCAGGCTTGGATCCAGACTTGCAAGGCGCTCCCCCATAGTGGGGTGACCCTCTTTCCTTACTACGAAGGAACGCCCACAGAAGCAGGATGCAATACGGAGTGAGTCTCGCGACAAACGACACGACACTCGTGGGCGCGACAGTGTTGACGTGGCGCGTTCGCTACCACAGTGAGGGCGTGGATTATGGATGTCAAGTACTCGAGAAGCTAGGTAGCGGATGGGAGCTGGCGACGCCGTCCGGCAAGTCCACTTTACCCGAGTTCGGTGCACAGCACGGGGAAGTGGTCATCATTGGCCGTGAGAAGATTTAGATGTAGTTGGCACAATCTCGTCACTCGAAATGCCGTGTAGAGCGAAATGCTCGCGGTTTCAATGCAGTTGGCACAATCTCGTCACTCGAAATGTCGTGTAGAGCGAATTGAAGAAAGTCTTTATCCTAGGATATGTTGCTTGGCTACCGTTGCCCATCCTTGACGCTCCCTCAACAATCTGCCCGTGTACAAGATGCGCACACTGCCCCACGCGCCATTGGGGGCAAAGGCATTCACACGATCTGCATCCAGTGGGCTCCCCTTGATGCGTGCAGCGATTGTGAGGAGTATTAGTGGCCACGCTTTGCAGACATGCGATTGAGCTAGCCCAAGCGCAACCATGACTGCAAAAACAGATTGGCTTTTGTTTCGCTCACCATACGGGTCGACAATTGTGCGAAGTGTTTGCTGAGAGGCGTGCGAGACTGGCATGGTGGCTCGCGCTTTTTCTCTCCGTAGCACTTGGGCCATGTGCATATTTGCAGAGCATGAACTGCCCGACCGCTTCCAGATCGTGGTTTCTTGAGGCTTCTGCAGGCTGACGCGAGTGCAAGCTGTGTGCCTTGGCGTGATTTGGAAGAGGTAAACGGGAGTTGATGGCGGTCCCCGGTGGGTAGACAATGGCGCAAAGGTGTTGGTAGCGCCGCTGGGGGCGCAACGTGAACAATCAAGCTCCCTTCTCGCCTCGCACGCTGGCGCCTTCGCGTAGAGATGCGTCTTTCCGCGCTTTGGCGTCCGTGGAAAGGCGGTGCTCACGCCTTGACCGGCGCAGACAACACAGCTATCTGACTACTGGGCCAGATCTCGTGTGCGGTGAGCATATAGCCTGCACGTTGCTCTACAGGCTTACCCGACGTTTTCTGTGGTACTCACCGAGAGTAGCAGGGCAAAAGTTTAAAGAGCGACGTTCAACAAAGTCGTTCCATTGCTTTCACCACGAATCTCAGGCTCTTTCAAGCTGACCAAAGCTCCACAGCATTCGTGCAGAGGACGCGTGCCACACAGCCCGATCAACATACTCCAAGACCGACGAAGCTTCCCCTTGTACAACAATGGCTCGCCTGCCCATCGCTCTCCTATGTCTCGCTGTGCTTGCTGGTCAAGCGGTCGCGGCAGCGATCGAGACAAAGACAAAATGCCCAGACTCTGTCAGAGGTCTTCGTAGTGAGTGGGCTGACGGCGACACGTAGGACTCTGCTGATGCCCTCGCTTCGCGCACGCAGTCGTCAAAAAATTCCCTGGAGATCACACCAAAGCGAGATTACATTGGATACTGACCTGTCAAGGACTGGACGGCGATCAGAATACGATTGGTGCTTACTTTGAGGGAGATCAGGCTGCATGCAACAACATTGGGTAAGTGTGGTCATGGTGCAAGACATTGTCGAGCAGGTCTGTCGCTGATCTCGCTTTTGTGGACAGCGCGGGGACTGACTATGGATGCACCGTCCTCGAGAAGCTAGGCAGCGGTTGGGAGCTGGCAACCCCGCCGACGGATTACGTCGCCAAACAAACAAGCGGCGGGTCGTCCTCAGGTCCGTGACGCAGGGTGGACACCGATGCCATAGTAGATGCGTACTTTGATGAGATGTCTGCCGCGCTGCACCGTATCAATCGCTCTATTGTGTTTCCAAAAGATTCGTGGGTGTGCCGCGTGAAGAGCCTGTGCGCGACCCACGCACGCGTGACTTTGAAGTGAATCACGCACACATCGCGAGACTCGTTTGCAAAAGAAAAGCATCATGTGAACACCACCGTGCGCGCATCGCACTTGTAGCCATGATCAAGACGTACGCACACGTGACTGGGCCGACTCCCACGCATTCGTGTTTGTAGACGCTCGCGGTAAATACGACACAGTACGGGTTGTAGGTACACACGTGCTTATGAATGAACGTGAGCGGGGTCATCAATCGCTTCATTGAGTCAGGTCCGCCAACGAGCGCAGGCTGAGCTGGGCCCACGAAAAGGCAAGACACTGCTCTCCGACTTGCTATTCGATCGACTCTACGCCTGACGTGGGTCGCAACACCAGCTAACCGAGGTTCCAGCCGGTCCGAATCTTGGGGTCTGCGCCATTTGCGTCATTTTTCACGCTTTAGCGCTCCCAGCGTCTGCGCATCCATCAACACTCGAAACACCATGCTGCGGAGCTGACAACGTGCAAGCGGTGCCTACCCGAGGCGTCGCGACTACATCTGTGATGATGTAGCTGCGACAAAGTACAACAATCCAACTCTTGTCAGGCCCTCGCTCTTCCCGCAGCCTCTGGACGTGCGCAGAAGAAGAGCATTGCGGCGCGTCGTGGCGGATAGCTTTGGGCTGGGCAGACGTGCACGATTGCCGAATCGTACCTTGGCGTGTTTTGGAAGAGGTAAGCGGGCGGTTCCTAGTGGGTAGACAAGGCGAGGCGCAGACGAAAGCATGCCTTTCCGTTCGGTCAGCTGGCTTGACGTCGCAAAGTGTCCCTCGAATAAGAGGGGCTGCTGGTGGTCGGCCGACGAATGGCGTTGTTGTCGGCCCGTGGTGAGCAGGCACAATGTCCCGCCGACAGAGGGCGTTGCTGACGGGCCGTGTCGGGTAGACAAGACGCTTCATGTAACGCTTGGCGCGTGTCGCCAAGCCGTGGAGCGTCGAGCTGCACACTGGATGTGATCTTGCTGCCCGCCTCTGTGCTTCGTCGAGGCTATCGAGGACTCGAACATAAAGCGCGACCTTTCTGACGCCCCACCCCACACCTCCCACACTCGCACCAGTCCATCAACGTTGCGTCACCATCCTATTCATCAAGTGTGCTGCTACCATGTCTCGCATTTCTATCGCTCTCAAGTGCGTTGCGCTGCTTGCTAGTCTGACGTCGGCTCAAAATGCAGCCCACGCCCAGGCACCAGCCTGCCCAGCAGCCAAGCACAATGCGCGCAGTGAGTGCTGTCCCGTCCGTCAACAGCGCAGAGCTTGACGATTGACGTGCTCCCTCTCGCGCACGCAGCGGCTACCAAGTATCCCGGGACGTACGCCGAGGCGCAACAAGCTTGGTTTCAGCGATGCAAGGCGCTGGGCGACGCCGCCAACAGCAGCGGCAATACGATTCCTGCTTTTGCCGGAACGCCTCCACTGGTTGCATGCGTGGGCGCGTGCGTGCGATCAACGAGACGCTTCACGCCCCGCTAGCTTGCTGATTTTGCTTTGCCCTTTTCCGCTCGCAGCGCTGGCGAAGACCTGGGTTGTGTGGTGTTCAACTCGTTTGACGGTGGATGGGAACTGGCGACGCCGCAAGTAGGAACCTCGCCGATCGGATCCTGACAAGTGGCGAGATGAATGAGCGGAGAGCTGGTATCTCGTGGTTCCTCTGAGCGTTCTTTGCATGTGCCTTGGCGACGTCGCACGCTACTGTCTCGCCCTGCTCGCACGAATGCATCCTTGACTTGGTCGCGCGTGACGCGTGCACGCTATACTACTCTCTCGCGCCCCCAAACCTCCTCGCACCTGCTCTTGAGGTCATGACAGTACGTGGCGTTGCCTTGATCGAGCTTGCTCTGCAGACCCAACAGGTAGTAGCCGATCCATGCGAATGGCCCAGACATGGATTCCCAGTTTGTGACCATGCACGCCGCTGCTCCCTCTTCTGGAAGCGTCGACACCGTCTGCACTCGCTCCGCAATGCCCAGCCAGCTTGGCAACAGCAGACCTTGCCAGGCTAGCGTCGACTGGATCGCGTCGTCCGCGAGCTTGGTGATCTGTCCCATCGCGATCGCGATCGCGTCAGCAGCGGCAACAATGCGCCACCAAGCGGGCTGACCACCACTCACGAGTTCAGGCACCTCCATCGGCTTTCCACTGCCATCATCCCATTTCATCTTGCCTTTGGCGCCTTCTCGCAGAGGTGCCGCTTCGGCGCCATCCAGCTCAAAGCTCCGCATCGTGCTGTTCCACTCGGCATACTCGTCCAGCGCGGTAATCACCCGCCAAACCACCTCTCTGGGAGCGGCAATGCGAACGCGGGTGCCGGATGTAAAGACGACTCGCGAGAGCGGCTGGTTGGGCGTCGCGGTGAGGTCTCGAAACGGCGCGGCGATGGTCATGTTGGCGTGTTTGCGTGAAAGTCTCGAGGTCAAGGCGCGAGGAGTCGCAGGGGGGCGGGATTAAGATGGTTGCGAGGAGGAAGGGTGCAGCGTGGGCCTCGCTCTGAGGAAGGAAGGGTGCACCGCGCGGCTTCGCTCCCAGGAACGTGCTTCAATTCCACGCGGTGCGCATCGCATGTGGCTGTGCATGCAGCACGAGACGCGCGGCGGCTGAGCGCGCGCAGAACACCCGAGGGCGAGCGAGGTGCGAGTGAAAGCCGATGGAGATGACTTGCATACCTAGTAACGTACTTGTGTGCTGGGGTGAGAATCAAGCGACTCACGCTTGCAAGTCATGTGAGGTGACGGTCGATTGCATTAAAGCGCGCGACGCGCAGCTTCCGAAGATTTAACAACAAATACCTATCATGTGATACGCGCTTGATCTTTAGGTTAGGGTTACAAGGGGGTGTGGAATAGGGTTTTTGGAGTTTGTGTTATAGGCATCTAGAGGAGCTCAAGGAGAGCCATTTGTTAAAGCAGCGCCAAAAACCCTACAGGTTTGACAGCATGAGGTCCATCTAACCTCAAGATGGTCTGGTTAGGGTTAGGGTTAGGGTTAGGGTTAGGGTTAGGGTTAGGGTTAGGGTTAGGGTTAGGGTTAGGGTTAGGGTTAGGGTTAGGGTTAGGGTTA